ATTCACACGGGAGCAACAACTCTTAAACCATGCGAATTCGCCCGAGGTAAGCAGGAAACGAGGCACTTACGCAACTGCGTTTTCTGCGCCACCTTAGTTTTCATGCGCACGCGGAGGTTCCACCGCTTGCGGAACCGCTCCGACCACCGCTGACTCCCTTTCCACTTGACTTTCGGGAACAGCACCTTCATCACTTCGCGTGACCAATCTTGGAGCCAGCCGACTGAAACTGCAACACCGTGGCGTCGCCAGTCGAGGAGTTGAGCATACACCTCTAACTCCATGGGTCTGTACCAAGAAGACCTCCCGCGCCCATGAAGTCGACACCGTGCGGCGTGTGAAGCCTTGAGCTCCTCCGCTTGGGTTTTCCACTCCGTCAGGCATTTGCTGTGTATGCCGGACTCCCGCGCGACCTCGCTTATCGATGCCGCCAGCTCCAGCCGCACGAGCCACCTGAGTTTCTACTGGGAGGTGTAGGACTGCCGTTTATGTTGAGACGGCTTATGCCTGGGAGAGGGGGGGCGGGCATCTCGGTTCTCGGAGGAGGGGTGGGGTCGTTTTTTGTTAATCGGCGGATACGTCGGTATCGGCATCTTCTCGCGTGGTGCGTCGCGCCACCATGACTCCACACCGTCGTCGTGCTCGGCAGTTGCACCACGATCTGGGAACACGTCCTCCTCGGTGCCCGCTTCACCGTCGCCGACACCGTCACCGTCGCCGATGTTTTGTTTATCGGTGGCCACGTCATCGTCGGCACCTACAGCCGACTCGTCCCACGTACAGGCTTCAGGCTGTCCCCACTGTGGTGCAGGCGGCGGAGCCTGGATGAACACATCGGGGGCCTTGGGTGTGTCCGGTTCAGACAGCCACTCGTCGAAAGTGGCTGGTAAATACAGCTGGAGCACGGGCCGTTGGTGAGCACTGGCACCGATATCAGGCGGATTCGGAGGAGCGGGAGGAGCGGGAAGAGCAGGAGGAGCAGGAGGTGCAGGAGGAGCAAGGGGCGCAGGGTGTTCAGGTGGCACTGGAGGCGCTGCTGGCTCACGAGTATACCACCCGTCGTCGGTAAGTCGCCACGGGCGAGCTGATTTTTTCTTGAAGAGGAAGTGCGTCCCGCTGAATTCCGCCATGGCTTTGCTAGCCAGGCGGCCTAGCCTAGAATTGTCAAAATGGTGAAGGAATGAATGACTGAACTAGCAAGGAGGTGGGTACAAGTAGGAAACCTAAAAGTGTTGTACCCTATATGAACTACCCCACTACAACCTAGATAGACTATAGCATATAAGTTTGACACACCCCCATAGGCAAAGTGGGGGAGAACAAGAGGTCACAAGACCGGTCAAGAAAGGCAAAGCAAGCTCAGGGTGGATCACGATGTCACCACACATTCTGAGCACAAGCAAATGGCCACAAGGCCAGTTCACATGCAGAGTTATATAAAGGAGAACAAACCATACAGTGAACACAACCTAGCAAGTTCACATGCAGGTATAGGTATAGAGATCACAGTACAAGAAGAATCAAGAGGTAAGCAAGTGAGGCACAGTAGGTACAAGGCCTAGAACAGTACAGAAACGCTGATGATCACAAGGCTGAAGTGCCTTGGTGAAAACATCAGCAGTGTTGGCCCGAGAGGCCACGTAAGCAAGACGAAGCTGACCACGATGCTGCAACTCTCGAGCATGGAAGTAGCGCAGAGCAATGTGCTTCGTTCTGTGCTCCTGACACAAGGCAAGCATGGCCTTGTTGTCGACGTACAGAACTGGAGGAGAACGAGGCGCCTCTCCCAAGTCGGTCAGCAGGTAGGTGAGCCAGCGTAACTCCTGTGCAGCCATGGCCCCTGCGTAGATCTCAGCCTCACAACTGGAGCTAAGAACAGAAGACGAGCGGGTAGACCGCCAAGAGACAGAACCGGAGCCAAGGCTGAAGGTGTAACCCTGTGACGACCGCTGCGTAGCCAAGTCGTCAACCCAGGAAGCGTCTGCGTGACCAGTGAGGACAACTTGAGCCCGTCCTCCAAGCACGAGCCCCATGCCCGACGTACTGCACAAGTAGCGCAACACCCTCTTCGCAGCATCCCAGTGCACCTTTCGGTGCCTACCGGGAGCCACGTAGCGAGCCAGAAGGCTAAGAGGGTACGCAAGGTCAGGTCGTGTGCAAGTCATCAGGTACATGAGGCAGCCCACAAGCTCTGGATACGGGCCACTCGGCTCTACGGACTCGTCCGAAGGTGGAGCTGAGAGCGAGTGACCGGTAGGCAGACGAGTGGACTGTGGCAAGGAGTACGTGAAGCCGAAGCGCTGAAGGACCTGGTGCACCATGTGTGACTGAGTCAGTGTGATGGTGCGCCATGCTCTATCCCGGGTGATCTGCAAGCCAAGATAGCTGCGCAGCTCACCCAAGTCAGTGCAGGTGTGTCTCTTCTGCAGCTCCGACTTCACAAGGGTCAGTGCCTCGGTGTCAGCAGTGGCAAAGACCAGGTCGTCGACATAGACGAGGACGTACAACAGCGGCAGTGAGGTGTCGATGCGTAGAAACAGCGACGGGTCAGCAGTAGAAGGAGAAAACCCAAGAGCCGCAAGTGTAGTCCTTAGTGTGTCGTGCCACTCACGGGGTGCCTGGCGGAGACCGTAGATTGGCCGCCGGAGGCTCCACTGGGTACCAGCAGGAAACGACCCAGTGAAGCCTGGTGGGCGGCGCAGCCATATCTCCTCGTGCAGGCTGCCCTGTAGGAAGGCTGTGCTGAAGTCAAGCGAGTGTAGCCGTAGTCACGCTGAGCGGCGACGTGCAGCAGCACCCGAAGAGTGGTCATCTTCGGGATAGGGGAGAAGGTCTGAAAGAAGTCAACTCCCTGTCGCTGACTGAAGCCTCGTGCAACGTAACGCGCCTTGAAGACAGGCGGAGAACCCGGCGGCCGCTTCACCCTGAAAATCTACATGCCACTGACGATGTTCGCCCCAGGCGGGGGAACCTCGTCGACGTAGGTGCCTGTGGACTTCCAGGATGCCATCGCGGCATCCATGGCTGCCTGCCACTGAGAGGAGTAAGGACCCGTAATCGCCTCTGCGTAAGAGCGCGGGGTCGGGATGTCTGGTGCATCCGGGTCTCCCTCAGGGGCAAGCAGCATGGACACGAGATGAGGTACAGCAGCGGAAAAGCACTCAAACTCCTCCTGTCTGTCCTCAAGGACGTCCGTGCCAAGAGCACACTCACCCCCGACGGACGGAGGACAGACAGACGCAGACTCAGACTCAGCAACAAGACTAGCGGCGTAGTCTAGACGACAGTGAGCAGCAAAGTCGACAAGCTCAGCAACTAAGGTAGACGCAGCAGTGGACTCAATGGAAGGGTCAGTGACAACAGTGGCCAGGAGACGCGTGACAGTAAGACTAGCAGTACGAAGGGAGTCAGACTCCGGGTCAGCAAGTGTAGGAAGAAAGGACGTAGGAGGAGACGGCAGAGGGACACACTGTGGAGCAGTGGAAGGACGCAGAGTCATAGAGTGAGTGCCGGGGACAGGAGGAGGACGCTGACGCGGAACACGACGACCAGTGGAACAGGGCGAACAGGCGACTCAGGACGAGACTCAGGCGACGCAGGACGAGACTCAGGCTCACGACGCTCCGTAAGTCCTCTAGTCGGTCCAGAGTAAGGAGAAGGACCAGGCAGTGGAGAGGCTGGCTGTAATTGCGACGGTGACTGGTCAGGCGGTGGACTCAGTAAAGGAGGAGTAGGACCAGTAGAAGGCGGGAGACCAAGAACCTGCTGAAGGAGCGGGACGTAGTACGGCCGCGGCCGCGCAGCGCCTCCAGAAACAGCAGAGACAGCACCAGTACCCTCAGCTCCAGGGTCTCCAGCTACAACTCCCACAGCACCACCAGCTCCAGTACCTCCAACAGTTCCAGCTCCAGCAGCACCCCCAGTAGTAACAGCTCCAGCACCTACAGCTCCAGCAGCTCCAGTACCTCTAGTACGAGCACCTCCGGGACCAGCTGCTCCAGCACCTCCAACATCTCCAACACCAGCAGTACCTCCAACCGTGGGAACGTTTTTTAGGGCCCACCACGATTTTTTTAGGGCCCACCAGCTCCAGTATCTGTATTTGTCATTTTATAAGTGCATGTGGTTATATTTTTCACTCAATTATAAGTGCACCCCCCTAAAAAACACTGTTTTATTATAAGCACAGGTGTGCTTATATCCGGGGTGATACGGGTATCATCGTAGAATTCTGTCTGTTTGTGGTGTACTTTCTGGCAATCTTCCCTTGCTCTATATCTTGTACCTCTTTCAATACTGAACCCCTCTTTTCCCAACCTCGCTTACCAAACTCTCTCGATAGCCATGCCTGGTCTAAACCCTAGCATGGCTCCACGTTCTAGACCGTTTCTTGACAGTCTAGTATCCAGCCAAATACAGTGCATTTTCTGTATATAGAATCCCAGTCTAATTGTACCGTAGTATGGTAACTCAGGAAGGACTTCCCTCCCTCCCCTTGAAACAACAGCGGTACTTCAACAAGGAGGTTCTGATTCTGGTGTGTCACTGTCAACATCCTCACAAAGAGCAGAAAGCCAGACATCTAGCATGGCGAGCGTGACTGGCCAAGAGTAATGCGTGCTGTCGGTGCACCTGTCACCTCTAGGAAGGGTTAACGCTTGAAGGTCCACGAAATGCCCAAACTTTGTCTCATCAGACACCCTGAAGACAGAATGGCAGCAACACAGCAGGAAAAAAAAAAAAAACAGGCCTGAACAAAGGAGCATAAACACCTTAGTCTTGTTAGCTGTGAAGTCCTCCTCACCTGGCTACATGGTCATCGAACGTGAACCCTCTGACGTTGTTGCTCTTATGGAGATACCGCTGCGGCTTTTTATTTTCTTGCGCTGCCCAGATGCCAAAGAAAGTGACCCCGTCCGGATCGCGAACCACTGACTGGAGTGAAGGCAGAAACACCGACTCTGCAGCATTGGTAGGGATGGACATGTTGAGCACAAGAGCTAATTATATGGCGATGCTTGAAGTGTGGTAAATGCAACAAAGCCTGAAGAAAGACAGACGAGGGACTCACTGAACGCCTCTGCCATCTCCGATGCATTACTCTTGCGTGTGATGTCATGCAGGCCAAAGGACACTGCCACTACGTCGAATGGAGCAAAGTGAGTGGCGATGGGGCCGCCTGTGAGATTAGGGGCGGAACGCCAGTCGTGAAAGACGGGGGCATCTGAGTCCAGGTGCGTGGCATAGGTGAGGTTGAAGCTGTACGCACGGCCGCGGCGCCGCACTGGATGCACGAGCACCCTGTTGCCGGGCAGGGTGGCAGGGGAGAGAAGAGGCACGCTGTGGCAGAGGCAAGCAGCAGTATGTGAGAGGCAAGCAGCAGTATGTGAGAGGCAAGCAGCAGTATGTGAGAGGCAAGCAGCAGTGTGTGGGAGGCAAGCAGCAGTATCTGAGAGGCAAGCTGCAGTATGTGAGAGGCAAGCAGCAGTATGTGAGAGGCAAGCAGCAGTATGTGAGAGGCAAGCACTCACTGCTGCAGGGCGAAGCCACTCCAGAAGTGACCCCAGTAGGTGGTGCGGCCACAGAAGGTGCTGTAGTTGACAGCCAAGGCCATGCCCGTGCTGGGGTCCAGTGGCGGGCCCTCCTTCACCACCACGTTCCTCACCCGCACTCGGTGCACCTCCTGCCACTCGCCCCGCCACCACGCAGGCCAACAAGGTGAGTCACGAGCAACCTTAACGTGAAGGGATGCATGGAAAGTTAGCGGATATGAGCACATCAAACGGTTTCCCTCACCCTGCGCTGCCCGCACCACATCACCCTGACCTGCCCACACCACATCACCCTGACCTGCCCGCACCACCTCACCCTTACCTGCCCGCACCACCTCACCCTGACCTGCCCGCGCCACCTCACCCTGACCTGCCCGCGCCACCTCACCCTGACCTGCCCGCGCCACCTCACCCTGACCTGCCCGCACCACCTCACCCTGGGCTGGCGGCGGTAGCGCTTGAGGTAGCGGCAGCGTGTGCGGTAGTGCAGGAACATCTGCAGGTGGCCAAACAGGTACCGCATCTCCGAGTCCCCTGCCATGCACACGTGCAGCAGCAGCGGGCAGGCAGGCGGTGGCACACAGCGCGGTGCCGTGGCAGACTTGAGGGGCACTGGCACGGCACGAGTGCATCCACAGCCACAGCCACACCCACACCCACACCCACACCCACACCCACACCCACAACCACACCCACACACACACGCACACTCGCACTCACCACTGCACATCACAGATGTGAACTCGTGCACGAACGCACGCACGTGCATGGTACAGGCATTGTGCAGCACGGATGCATGGTACAGGCATTGTGCAGCACGGATGCATAGTACAGGCATTGTGCAGCACGGATGCATGGTACAGGCATTGTGCAGCACGGATGCATGGTACAGGCATTGTGCAGCACGGATGCATGGGTGCAGGACACGGGTAGATACCTATGGCTTTCCCGAAGCCAGATGCCTGCATGGTACAGGCTCTGTGCATAACACGACATGCCATGGAGAAGGACACAGCAGCAGGTGGGGTGTGGGTGGGCAGGAGGCGAGACCTAGAATGAGGACACAGCAGGTGGGGGTGGGCAGGCAGCACCCAATGCGTGCGGGCGACTTATGCGTGGGGGTGGGAATGAGGGCAGAAGGCGAGACCTAGAATGAGGGCAGGAGGCGAGACCTAGAATGAGGGCAGGAGGCGAGACCTAGAATGAGGGCAGGAGGCGAGACCTAGAATGAGGGCAGGAGGCGAGACCTAGAATGAGGGCAGGAGGCGAGACCTAGAATGAGGGCAGGAGGCGAGACCTAGAATGAGGGCAGGAGGCGAGACCTAGAATGAGGGCAGGAGGCGAGACCTAGAATGAGGGCAGGAGGCGAGACCTAGAATGAGGGCAGGAGGCGAGACCTAGAATGAGGGCAGGAGGCGAGACCTAGAATGAGGGCAGGAGGCGAGACCTAGAATGAGGGCAGGAGGCGAGACCTAGAATGAGGGCAGGAGGCGAGACCTAGAATGAGGGCAGGAGGCGAGACCTAGAATGAGGGCAGGAGGCGAGACCTAGAATGAGGGCAGGAGGCGAGACCTAGAATGAGGGCAGGAGGCGAGACCTAGAATGAGGGCAGGAGGCGAGACCTAGAATGAGGGCAGGAGGCGAGACCTAGAATGAGGGCAGGAGGCGAGACCTAGAATGAGGGCAGGAGGCGAGACCTAGAATGAGGGCAGGAGGCGAGACCTAGAATGAGGACGCTCTTGCCATGCAGGCAGCGCCCAATGCGTGCGGGCGTGATGGGGGCAGGCAGGCGGCAGGCCGTGGGGTGCCACGTGTCTCCACGCCAGAAGCCCGCATGCCGTGACTCGCGCAACAGACCGAATGTGCACCGCGGCAGGCTCTGCTCGCTGCCACGCCGCACACACACAGCAGGGAGGGGCGGGCACGGACGGGCCCGTGTGGGTTGGGAAATGAGTACAGTACCCACCGAGTGTGCATGTACCCACCGAGTGTGCAGATAACGAACGAGGGCACACTCAGAGGCGGGAGGGACGAAGGGAAGTGGGGTGGGTGGAGAGAGAAAGGTCTAAAGGGGGGAGGGCATGCAGAGACACAAAGAGGGCATGCAGAGACACAAAGAGGGCATGCAGAGACACAAAGAGGGCATGCAGAGACACAAAGAGGGCATGCATAGACACAAAGAGGGCATGCAGAGACACAAAGAGGGCATGCATAGACACAAAGAGGGCATGCATAGACACAAAGAGGGCATGCATAGACACAAAGAGGGCATGCAGAGACACAAAGAGGGCATGCAGAGACACAAAGAGGGCATGCAGACACACAAAGAGGGCATGCATAGACACAAAGAGGGCATGCATAGACAGAAAGAGGGCATGCATAGACACAAAGAGGGCATGCAGAGACACAAAGAGGGCATGCAGAGACACAAAGAGGGCATGCAGACACACAAAGAGGGCATGCATAGACACAAAGAGGGCATGCATAGACACAAAGAGGGCATGCAGAGACACAAAGAGGGCATGCATAGACAGAAAGAGGGCATGCATAGACACAAAGAGGGCATGCAGAGACACAAAGAGGGCATGCATAGACACAAAGAGGGCATGCATAGACAGAAAGAGGGCATGCATAGACACAAAGAGGGCATGCATAGACACAAAGAGGGCATGCAGAGACACAAAGAGGGCATGCAGACACACAAAGAGGGCATGCATAGACACAAAGAGGGCATGCATAGACACAAAGAGGGCATGCAGAGACACAAAGAGGGCATGCATAGACACAAAGAGGGCATGCAGAGACACAAAGAGGGCATGCATAGACACAAAGAGGGCATGCAGAGACACAAAGAGGGCATGCATAGACACAAAGAGGGCATGCAGAGACACAAAGAGGGCATGCAGAGACACAAAGAGGGCATGCATAGACACAAAGAGGGCATGCAGAGACACAAAGAGGGCATGCATAGACACAAAGAGGGCATGCAGAGACACAAAGAGGGCATGCAGAGACACAAAGAGGGCATGCAGAGACACAAAGAGGGCATGCATAGACACAAAGAGGGCATGCAGAGACACAGAGAGGGCATGCAGAGACACAAAGAGGGCATGCATAGACACAAAGAGGGCATGCATAGACACAAAGAGGGCATGCAGAGACACAAAGAGGGCATGCAGAGACACAAAGAGGGCATGCATAGACACAAAGAGGGCATGCATAGACACAAAGAGGGCATGCATAGACACAAAGAGGGCATGCATAGACACAAAGAGGGCATGCAGAGACACAAAGAGGGCATGCAGAGACACAAAGAGGGCATGCATAGACACAAAGAGGGCATGCATAGACACAAAGAGGGCATGCAGAGACACAAAGAGGGCATGCATAGACACAAAGAGGGCATGCAGAGACACAAAGAGGGCATGCATAGACACAAAGAGGGCATGCAGAGACACAAAGAGGGCATGCATAGACACAAAGAGGGCATGCATAGACACAAAGAGGGCATGCAGAGACACAAAGAGGGCATGCATAGACACAAAGAGGGCATGCAGAGACACAAAGAGGGCATGCAGAGACACAAAGAGGGCATGCAGAGACACAAAGAGGGCATGCATAGACACAAAGAGGGCATGCAGAGACACAAAGAGGGCATGCATAGACACAAAGAGGGCATGCATAGACACAAAGAGGGCATGCATAGACACAAAGAGGGCATGCAGAGACACAAAGAGGGCATGCAGAGACACAAAGAGGGCATGCAGAGACACAAAGAGGGCATGCATAGACACAAAGAGGGCATGCAGAGACACAAAGAGGGCATGCAGAGACACAAAGAGGGCATGCATAGACACAAAGAGGGCATGCATAGACACAAAGAGGGCATGCAGAGACACAAAGAGGGCATGCATAGACACAAAGAGGGCATGCAGAGACACAAAGAGGGCATGCAGAGACACAAAGAGGGCATGCAGAGACACAAAGAGGGCATGCATAGACACAAAGAGGGCATGCAGAGACACAAAGAGGGCATGCAGAGACACAAAGAGGGCATGCATAGACACAAAGAGGGCATGCATAGACACAAAGAGGGCATGCAGAGACACAAAGAGGGCATGCAGAGACACAAAGAGGGCATGCATAGACACAAAGAGGGCATGCAGAGACACAAAGAGGGCATGCATAGACACAAAGAGGGCATGCAGAGACACAAAGAGGGCATGCATAGACACAAAGAGGGCATGCATAGACACAAAGAGGGCATGCAGAGACACAAAGAGGGCATGCAGAGACACAAAGAGGGCATGCATAGACACAAAGAGGGCATGCATAGACACAAAGAGGGCATGCATAGACACAAAGAGGGCATGCAGAGACACAAAGAGGGCATGCATAGACACAAAGAGGGCATGCATAGACACAAAGAGGGCATGCAGAGACACAAAGAGGGCACGCATAGACACAAAGAGGGCATGCATAGACACAAAGAGGGCATGCAGAGACACAAAGAGGGCATGCATAGACACAAAGAGGGCATGCAGAGACACAAAGAGGGCATGCAGAGACACAAAGAGGGCATGCATAGACACAAAGAGGGCATGCATAGACACAAAGAGGGCATGCATAGACACAAAGAGGGCATGCATAGACACAAAGAGGGCATGCATAGACACAAAGAGGGCATGCAGAGACACAAAGAGGGCATGCAGAGACACAAAGAGGGCATGCAGAGACACAAAGAGGGCATGCATAGACACAAAGAGGGCATGCAGAGACACAAAGAGGGCATGCAGAGACACAAAGAGGGCATGCATAGACACAAAGAGGGCATGCAGAGACACAAAGAGGGCATGCAGAGACACAAAGAGGGCATGCAGAGACACAAAGAGGGCATGCATAGACACAAAGAGGGCATGCATAGACACAAAGAGGGCATGCAGAGACACAAAGAGGGCATGCAGAGACACAAAGAGGGCATGCATAGACACAAAGAGGGCATGCAGAGACACAAAGAGGGCATGCAGAGACACAAAGAGGGCATGCATAGACACAAAGAGGGCATGCAGAGACACAAAGAGGGCATGCAGAGACACAAAGAGGGCATGCATAGACACAAAGAGGGCATGCAGAGACACAAAGAGGGCATGCAGAGACACAAAGAGGGCATGCATAGACACAAAGAGGGCATGCATAGACACAAAGAGGGCATGCAGAGACACAAAAAGGGCATGCATAGACACAAAGAGGGCATGCAGAGACACAAAGAGGGCATGCATAGACACAAAGAGGGCATGCATAGACACAAAGAGGGCATGCAGAGACACAAAGAGGGCATGCATAGACACAAAGAGGGCATGCAGAGACACAAAGGGCATGCATAGACACAAAGAGGGCATGCATAGACACAAAGAGGGCATGCATAGACACAAAGAGGGCATGCAGAGACACAAAGAGGGCATGCATAGACACAAAGAGGGCATGCATAGACACAAAGAGGGCATGCAGAGACACAAAGAGGGCATGCATAGACACAAAGAGGGCATGCAGAGACACAAAGAGGGAATGCAGAGACACAAAGAGGGCATGCATAGACACAAAGAGGGCATGCATAGACACAAAGAGGGCATGCAGAGACACAAAGAGGGCATGCAGAGACACAAAGAGGGCATGCTTAGACACAAAGAGGGCATGCAGAGACACAAAGAGGGCATGCATAGACACAAAGAGGGCATGCAGAGACACAAAGAGGGCATGCATAGACACAAAGAGGGCATGCAGAGACACAAAGAGGGAATGCAGAGACACAAAGAGGGCATGCATAGACACAAAGAGGGCATGCATAGACACAAAGAGGGCATGCAGAGACACAAAGAGGGCATGCAGAGACACAAAGAGGGCATGCATAGACACAAAGAGGGCATGCAGAGACACAAAGAGGGCATGCATAGACACAAAGAGGGCATGCATAGACACAAAGAGGGCATGCATAGACACAAAGAGGGCATGCAGAGACACAAAGAGGGCATGCAGAGACACAAAGAGGGCATGCAGAGACACAAAGAGGGCATGCATAGACACAAAGAGGGCATGCAGAGACACAAAGAGGGCATGCATAGACACAAAGAGGGCATGCAGAGACACAAAGAGGGCATGCATAGACACAAAGAGGGCATGCAGAGACACAAAGAGGGCATGCAGAGACACAAAGAGGGCATGCATAGACACAAAGAGGGCATGCAGAGACACAAAGAGGGCATGCAGAGACACAAAGAGGGCATGCAGAGACACAAAGAGGGCATGCATAGACACAAAGAGGGCATGCAGAGACACAAAGAGGGCATGCAGAGACACAAAGAGGGCATGCATAGACACAAAGAGGGCATGCAGAGACACAAAGAGGGCATGCATAGACACAAAGAGGGCATGCAGAGACACAAAGAGGGCATGCAGAGACACAAAGAGGGCATGCAGAGACACAAAGAGGGCATGCATAGACACAAAGAGGGCATGCAGAGACACAAAGAGGGCATGCATAGACACAAAGAGGGCATGCATAGACACAAAGAGGGCATGCAGAGAAACAAAGAGGGCATGCAGAGACACAAAGAGGGCATGCAGAGACACAAAGAGGGCATGCATAGACACAAAGAGGGCATGCAGAGACACAAAGAGGGCATGCATAGACACAAAGAGGGCATGCAGAGACACAAAGAGGGCATGCATAGACACAAAGAGGGCATGCATAGACACAAAGAGGGCATGCATAGACACAAAGAGGGCATGCAGAGACACAAAGAGGGCATGCAGAGACACAAAGAGGGCATGCATAGACACAAAGAGGGCATGCAGAGACACAAAGAGGGCATGCATAGACACAAAGAGG